TTGGGCCGTATATTTAATCTGATAGGGCCTGTTATTGGGAGCAAAATCCTGATATCTACAGCCAGAATTTCTTTATGTGATCATAACAAATAGGTTTATTTATTTATTTTTACCAGCTTTAATGAGGTATAATTAACAAATAAAATTTTATCAATTTAACATGTACACATGATGATGTGATATACATATATAGTGAAATGATTACCACAATAAAGTTAGTTAACATGTGTATCACTTCACAGAGTTACGTGTGTGTGTGTGTCTGTGTGCATGTCTGTGTGGTGAGGAGGGTTTATTTTTTATGGAAACAAATGTAGCAGTCAATGGAAAATTCCCTTGTCTAATATTTCTAAATAAAAGTTGCTAATCAAATTCTAATTTCTTAATAAAATTGTAGTAAAACTTTATAAGGTAAATGTTACTATAAAATTGCTGTCTTTTGTTTTCATCATCTTATCTAACAAATGTGGAATATTTCTGAAATAGATTCTTCTTATTTTATTTTTATTTTGACTCATAGGGAGAAAAGTCCCTCTTATGTTCTTTTATCATTTGCTTTTATTAACTTCAGCTTCAGTTAGCTAACTTCCACATATCAAGAATCTTTTCAAAACAGAAGAGACAAGAAGTAATGCGACACTGGGGAGGGAAGCAGCTTCGTGACATCATAGCCGCTTCCTAGCAGGAGTTATTTCTACCTGAAGCATATAGACCATATTAAGAAGCCACAGGGAAAAATGAATGGATGTGGATGGCAAGTTCATTTGTTTCCTTACCATCTCAGAACACTGTAAATAAGTTTGTGTGTTTCCATTCAAACGGTTCCATTATCTTGGAGGTCTTAATCATTTCTAATAGCAGTTTCTGAAGTGTTCAGAGCTTGTGCTTAAGGAGCATTATTGGTATTCAAAGTAGTCATACTGCATTAAGCAGATTTACAGCCTTGTTCATGGTTATCCTTGATCATCTTTATTTAAAAGTAAGTTTAGGCTGATGAGGTGGCTTAAGCATCCTCCTATATTTTAGACTGTTAGTCATGCCACACCAGAATATCTGGCTCTGCTGGGCACCCTCACTCTTCTTCAAATGAAACTGAAGTTGGCAAGTTAAAGGGGAAGGGGGAACAGGTACTGAACTAGGAAAAAAGTTTAAAAGGACAGGGTTGTTTTAAAATGTACCTAGGATTTCGTTTTATTCAGGTATGGTGAGGCAACAGATTAAGGCGTGCTTGTCACTGAAAAGATAGGTTGCTATTTACAGTTCCCAAGAGGAGGGAGCATGCAATAACCATGCTGAGCCAGGTGGGACCACATGGGGGCATCCGGGTGTGTCAGGGGCAGAGGAAGTGAGGGGAAAACTTACAGTGGTTTCCACACCGAACGCAAAGTAAGGCAGGGCAAGAAGGTGTGGGATTGGATAGTTTAAATAATTTCAGTGGTTTTTGTGGTACAGAGGGTTTCCAGTTGGTGGATAACTGGCCCTCTGGTGACTTAGGGAAGGAGGACAGTGTTCTGGACTGCAGGAGCCTGGTAAAATGAGGCAGGTGGGGACAAGGACTCAGGATCAGCTGGTTTGTGTATCAAAGGTGTGTTCCCAGGCAAACTGTTTGCCATCTCTAGGAATTAGGGCAGCTGGGAAGGTCAGTGCTTCCACCTAGGGTCTGCAAGGCCCTAAGATGTCAAAGTATTATAAAATACAGAAAATAAATGCATGATTAATATAAGCCTGCCTGAAATAGTGCTCTAAAAAGCATAAAAACAGAGCTGCTCAGACTTTACAGTGCATAAGAATCACCTGGGTATTTTGATAAAGTACAGACTCTGATTTATTAGATCACGTGAGGGCAAGGCTCTGTATTTCTAATAAACTCCTTGGACCACCCTTGGAGTACTTACAGCCAAGACTGTATCACTCAGAGTCTACTATCTGAGCCACCTTCTGTAGGAAAAAGGGAACCCTGTCTTGAATCAGATACTGCTAGACACTGAATACATAGTTATCATCTTGTTTTGCTTGGACAACACCCTTTTTTCGTAGGAAAAATTATCTCAATTTTATAAGCAATGGAACTGAGATTCTGGGAGGTCAAGTAACCTGCCCCAAGTCATTAACTTAAAAGATATAAGATATAAATGTATCTGACCTCCACCTTCCCCTCCCCCTCAGCATAACTACAGATGGTACCACTGTGACAGGAAAGCCTTTGTTGGTAAAGGCTTCCTAAAATATAAGTCCATGGACTTGAAATGTGGCTCAGTTACAACTTGACTTCGAGCAAGAAGAGAGATTGTGAATGATGTTCATTATCTCAGAGCCAAAAATAAGTGGTGCTGACTAAATGTTCTATTTCACTATAGCCATTTGAGGAACACCTTAGAGATACACGTGCGTAGTGAGATACAGGCACTAAAAAGTTAGTCTTCCACCCATGTACTCCTAGTTCTACTGCTCAGAGATTACTGTTAGGTTGGTAGCCATCTAGAACTGCTCTATGCAAATAAACTTGTATAAACGAATTCATTCACCAGTCATTCTAAGGCAGTGGGAGGCAAAACAGTAAATACTCACTAAATCCCTCACACAGCCATACCAGGAGGAGAAAAAGATTATAAACAGATGAGTAAAATATATATTATAACAGATAGAGATAAATGCTAATTGAGAAAAAGCCAGGAACAAGAAGAGGTGGTATTTGTAATTATAAATACCGTAGTTAAGAAAAGTTTCATTGAAAAGATGGTATTTGAGTAATACATAAAGGAGGTAATCCTATTCCACAGCAATCTTTCCTTTTAGCCATTATGTTAAGGCCCTGACCAGATCAGAACTTGTAGATCCTACCTTATTTTTTTTAAAGGCTCCGCAGTGCTCTACTGTTTGCACACAACATACTGATGGGCATTTTGTTATTTGCATAAATGGAATGTTTTAAATAATACTGATATAATTTGTCAGGTTGAGAAGTTGGGGATGCAAGCCCAAGCTGAACCTCTCTACCTAGGTGACCATGTTATGTCACTAGTATTTATTGACTTCCTTTTTTATATTAATAGTCTGGCCTCATGAGGTTTTACCTTTTCCTGCCACACCTTAGGCTGTCACTATGCATCAGGGGCAAGGGCATGTCCAGGACTTCTCTACCTGGCGGCCAGGGTAATGTTCTGCTTGCAACACTTTCCTCAGTGCCAGGCTGCTTGTGACCCCTGAACAAATAAATACTTGAACCCTCCAGGTAACAAGTTTTCCACATTCCTCACAAAGGCAGTAGAAGAAAAATTTTAGGGAACAGCCCTCTGGGGTCTGAGCATGATTTTCCCCCACAGGAGAATGCATGTAAGCTCCCTTAAACAAAGACAAACAAAACATCCTTACCGTCAGGTCCTATTTATTTACATGGATACAGATGTTTAGCACTGGGCCATATGACTGAACAGATTTCACATTTAATGAAAGATTAAGTTATTCATTTAATTATTATCTGAGGCAATACCTGGAATATGTCAGCACTCTGCCAGGCTCTGTAGGAGAAACAAATATCATTGCAATACGGTTCCTGCCCATGTTACCTTCTAGGCTTTTAACAAAGGACAAGTTCAAAATCAACTGTGATTCAAGGTTGTGTGTGGTAAGTGGTACATTACAATACAATTGGAATTAAAAGACACGGGAGAATGCTATGATCCATCTGAGGTGAGATATGTATAGGTAGAGATGGAGGTGGAACAAAGGGACTTTGAAAAGGGATGAGAGTGTGAATGTGAGTGAGTGAGTGTGTGTGTGTGTGTGTGTGTGTGTGTGTGAGTGTGGAAATAAAAGGGGGGCAATAAGTGCACTGTAAACAAAGGCTCAGGTGAGGGAAACACAGGCATTGTAAAGGATAGGTGAAGTGGCCCAGCAGAGCTTAGGCACAGAATGTGGGGAGCACTTCTAGGTTGACAGGAGATGTGGGCTGGAGTGAGAGGGGCAGAGGGTCCTAAGGCCCCTTCTTTGTTATCAGATAAGGGAGACACAGATGAGTTCTGAAAGATATCAAGAAGACCACCATCAACTTTTTCCTCTGGTTTTGATGTTTTGTTTTGTTTTTTTTCAGAAGTATTTGTGTAGTTTGTTTTATAACCTCTATTTCTAAGTTCAGTAATTTTTTAAACTGATTTAATACTTATCCAAGTAATACATGTTAAAAAAACCTGTATGTTAAAAAAGCAAATAACATTATAAGGCCTATAACCCCAAACAGGAACCCCCCACTCCGCATGTCCATACCTACTCCCTTCTACTCAGCAGAAACCACTTGGTTGTGTTTGTTGTTTGCTTCTATAATGAAAGATATTTATTGGCCAGAGTGAATAATGTCCTATATTGGTACAATTTTTATCTCACCAATTTTTCTCAGTTTGGTTAATATAGGGGTTTGCTCAGGGCAGGAAGACTAACCAGCATTTCTAACGTACCCCTCCCCTGAAGGAGGTCGAATCCTGTCATGGGAGAGGAAACCACTTTTAATTTTTATTGTGATATTTGATTCCATACATTTAAGTTATGTGTGCATAGTGATGTTTCTTAAGTCATCATTTTCAGAGATTATCTAATGTCTTACTGCTATGCAAAATGAGGAAAATGTAACACTCTTACCCAGTCACCACCTCCCAATAAACTTTCTTCTCTATCTTTTCAGGAGATTAGTAGCAATTTGAGGGTAAAGTGATATTCTATGTTTATTAGTGAGACCATATAATATTGTTACTGTTGAGCAATGTAGTTTAAGAATACACTTCCTATCTTCTATAATATTTTGTTTTTCCTCATATTTTATTTCTTCTTTTTGTATATTTATCTATTACTCACTGTTTCTGAACTATTTAAGGGAACTACAAAAGCCCTATTAAACCCACTGTTTCTGTGATCAGCCCAGTTGATCACTGTGTCATACCTATTTTTACCCTTTAGGAGCCGCCCATTCACTCCCTCTGGTCTATCAGTTTCCCAGGCCAGCTGCCCACCTGTTGTCCTGGGGCTTCTTTTTAACACCATCTTGCGAAATCCCTGTGCCTCTCGCCTGTGTTGTGTCCCCCGTTTCCTGGATCCCATGGTTTCCTCTTTCTTGGTTTACAGCCTCATTTTTGTAGAGCACATTCTCTAGAAGCTTCCTGAGAAAAGGTACATGGGAGGTAAATTTGTTGAGACTTTTCTTGTGTGTCTGAAAATGCCTTAATGACTTAACTCTACTCTTATACATGTTTGATAGTTAATCTTATAATTGAATTCCAAGTAAAAAAGTCATTTTCCTCAGAATTTTAAAGGCTTGTACTTCATTGGCTTCTAGTTTCCAGTGTTGCAGTTGAGAAGTCAGATGCCATGGGTATTCCTGATCATTTAAATGTGACATGCTTTATTTCTCTGGAAGGTTTTGAAATCTTCTTTTTAATCCCTAGTGTTCTGAATTCTCACAGTAAAGAATCTTAATCACCTTTTTAAAAATTCTATTATTCTGGGCATTTTCCCTTCACTTTAAACCTGTGATTCAATTAAAATTTTTTTTCTTGTTTCACTGTTTGATACTTATCTCCCCACCACTTTCTACTGTTTTCTATTTCTGGAACTCCTATGGTAAAATGCTGAACCTAATGGACTGATGCACTACATTTTTTAACTTCTTTTCCCTCCACCCCTTCTTACCCCTTTGTACATCTTGGCCTGTTATTCTACTTTCTAGAATATTTACTTGACTTTATCTTCTATACCTCTAAATACATTTTTTTACAGTTTAATTTACAATGTCTTGTTCTCATTTTCTGATTATTCCTTTTTTATAGACTGCCCTCTTTATATCATGAATATAATACTGTCTCTCATCATATGATAGATTTTTGACCAAGATATATCATAATTAAAATGACAAAGGTTAAAGACAAAAAGAGAATCCTAAAAGTAGCAAAACAAAGGCAGTTACCTACAAGGGAGCTCCCATAAGACTGTCAGCTGATTACTCAAGAGAAGCTTTTCAGGACAAGAGATGGGCACAAACTATTTTAAGTGATGAAAAGCAATAAACTAAAACCAAGACTATTCTACCCATGAAGGCTATCATTTAAAATTGAAGGAGAGATAAACAACAACAACAACAAAAAATCTAAATGAGTTCACCACCAACAAAGCAGTACTAGAGAAAGTGTTAAAAGGACTTCTTTAATAAGAATAAGGAAAAAATATATAATTATGAATAATAAAATGACAATAACTACATACCTATATATAAATACTTTAAATGTAAATATATTAAATGCTTCAATAAAAAAACATAAGATAGCTGAATGGATAAGAAAACAAGATCCATATGCATGCTGCCTCCAAGAGACCCATCTCAGCTCTAAAGATGCATACAGACTAAAAATAAAGGGATAGAAAAAGATATTTCATGAAAATGGAAAAGAAAAAAAAGCTGGGGTAGCAGTACTTATATCCGACAAAAATTTAAAACCAATGCTATAATAAGAGACAAAGAAGGACATCACATAATGATAAAGGAATCATTCCAACAAGATTTAACCCTTGTGAACATTTATACACCCAATAGAAGCACCCCAATATATAAAGAAAATGTTAATAGACAAAAGAAGAGCTAGAAAGTAAGAAAGGCATAGTAGGGGATTTTAACATCCCATTGTAATCAATGGATAGATATTTCAGACAGATAATCAACAAGAAAACAGTGGCCTTAGATGACACACTAGATCAGATGGATTTTATTGATATCTTCAGAGTATTTCACACTAAAGCAGTAGAATATACATTCTTTCCAAGGGCACATGATACATTTTCCAGGATAAAACACAGTTAGGACACAAAACAAGTCTCAGTGAATTTAAGAAGACTGAAATCGTATCAAGCTCTTCTCTGACCATAATGGTATAAAACTAGAAATCAATCACAAGAAAAAAAATAAAAAGCACACAAAACCATGAAGGTTAAATAACATGCTACTAAACAATGAATGAGTTAATAATGAGATCAAGGAAGAAATTAAAAAGATACTTTGAGGCAAATGAAAATGAAAACACAACCACCTAAAAATCTATGGGCCACAGCAAAAGCAGTCCTAAAAGGGAAATTCCTGGCAATACAGGGCTACCTCAAGCAATAAGAATAATCTCAAATAAACAATCTAACTTTACAGCTGAAATATTAGAAAAAGAACAACAAAAGAAGGAAGGAGATAATAAAAATTAGGTCAGAAATGAATGAAAGAGTCTAAAACAATACAAGTGACTGATGAAATGAAAAGATAGTTCTTTTAAAAGAGAAATAAGGTTGATAAACCTTTAACCAGACTCATCAAGAAAAAAAGAGGGGACCCCAAAAAATTAAATCAGAAATAAATGACAACTGACAACTGATACTGCAGGAGTGGCTACTAACACCACACAGAAATACAAAGAATTATAAGAAAATGCCATGAACAATTATACACTGAGAAATTAGATAATCTGAAAGAAAAAGATAAATTTCTACAAACATACAATCTTCCAAGACTGAATCAAAATGAAGCAAAATCTGAACAGACTGATTACTACCAACAAAACAGAATCAGTAATCAAAAAACTCCCAGCAAATAAAAGTCCTGGACCAAATGGTTTCACAAGTGAAATTATCAAATGTCAAAGATGAATTAATACCTATCCTTATGAAACTATTCCAAAAAAAGTCCAAGAGGAGGGAAGACTCACAAGTTCATTTTACAAGGATGCCATTATCCTGATTCCAAAACCAGACAAAGACATTACAGAGAAAGAAGATTAGACAACAATATTTCTGCTGAACATAGATGCAAAAATCCTCAACAAAAGATTACTAAATCAAATTCAGCAAAAGATCTTCATTTAAAAAACCATGTACCATGATCAAGTGGGATTTATTCCTGGGCCACAAGTTTGGTTCTATATCTTCAAATCAATTAATGTGATACACCACATTAAGAAAAATGAAAGATAAAAATCATATGATTATATCAATAGATGTACAAAAATCATTTGAAAAAACCCAGTGCCCACTTATGGAGCGCACTCCCAGAAAAGTGGAAATGGAGGGCACACACTTCAATATAATAAATACCATCTATGGCAAATATTATACTCAATGGGAAAAAGTTAAAAGCTTTTTCCTTATGATCAGGACAAAGACAAGGTTTTCCACTTTTACCACTTTTATTCAATATAGTTTTGGAAGACCAAGCCATAGCAATCAGAAAAGAAAAACAAATAAAAGGTATCCAAGTTGGAAAGGAAACAGTAAAGCTGCCATTATTGGCAGATGACATAGTTCTATATGTAGAGATACTTAAAGATTCCACAAAAGAACTACTAGAACTGATGAATGAATTCAGTCAAGTAGCAAGATACAAAAATAATATTCAGATATTTGTTGCATTTGTATATACCAATAATCAGAAAGAGAAATTAAGAAAACAATTCCATTTACAACTGCAACAAAATAAACAAACAAAAAAACCCTAGAAATACATTTAACCAAGAAGGTAAAAGAACTGTACTAAAAAAATTATAAGACACTGAAGAAAGAAATTGAAGAAGATACAAGTAAATAGAAACATATACTATGCTCATGGACAGGAAAAATTAACATTGTTAATATGTCCATACTACCCAAAGCAATCTATAGATTCAGTGCAATCCTTATAAAAATACCAATATATGTATTTCAAAGAACTATAATAAATAATCCTAAAATTTATGGAACCATGAAAGACTCTGAATAGCCACAGAAGTCTTGTGAAAGAACAAAGATGGAGGTACTATATCACCTGATATCAAACTATACTACAAACTTATAGCAATCAAAACAATATGTTACTGGCATAAAATCAGACACACAGATCAATAAACTAGAATAGAGAGGTCCCAAATAAACCCATGCCCATATGGTCAATTAATTTATGATAAAGGAAACAATAATATCCAATGAAGTACAGTCTATTCAATACATGGTGTTGAGAAAATTGGACAGATACACACACACACACACACAAATGAAACTAGACCACTTTCTTATACATATATAAGAATAAACTCAAAATGGATTAAAGACTTAAATATAAGACCCAAAACAATAAAACTCTTAGAAGGAAGCATAAGCAGTAAAATCCCAGACATCCCTCTTAGTAGTATTTTTTTCTGATATATCTCTTCAGGTAAGGAAAAACAAACATAGGAGACTAATTTTTGCACAGCAAATGAAACCATCAACCAAATGAAAAGAAAAGCAACTGATTGTGAGAAGATATTCACCTATGGTACAACTGATAAGGGCTTATACTACTCACCACCAAAAACCACCCCCCCAAAACCCAACTATGAGGTACCGCCTCACACCGGTCAGAATGGCCATCATAAACAGATCCACAAACAACAGGTGCTGGCGAGGCTGTGGAGAAAAGGGAACCCTAGTCCACTGTTGGTGGGAATGCAGACTGGTGCAGCCACTATGGAAAGCAGTGTGGAATTTCCTCAGAAAGCTGAAAATGGAACTGCCTTTTGATCCAGCGATTCCCCTGCTGGGACTATACCCTGAGAACACCAAAACGCCAATACAAAAGAACCTATGCACCCCAATGTTCATAGCAGCACAATTTAGGTTGGAAGCAACCTAAATGCCCATCAGTAGAGGACTGGATCAAAAAATCATGGTACATATACACAATGGAATACTACACAGCAGAAAGAAAAAAAGAAGTACTAAACTTTGTGACAGCATGGATGGAACTGGAGAGCATCATGCTAAGCGAAATAAGCCAGGGGGCGAAAGACAAATACCATATGATCTCACCTATAAGTGGAACCTAACCAACAATGCAAAGAAGCAAGGAAAATATGACCAGCAACACTGAAAGGAAAAGAAATCAACAGAGACAAGAGGGAAGGGGGGCAGGGAAAGGGAAGGGAAGGGGAAGGTCAAGGAACATATAGCAAGGACTCATGGACAAAACCAAAGGGGAAGAGCTGAGGGAGGGAAGGTGGGAGGGGGCAAGGGAAAGAGGGGGGGGGAAGGCAGAGACAAATGTATTTAAAAAGTAAATAAATTAATTTAAAAAAAAAACAATTTAAAAAATGGATAGAGGACCTGAACAGACAGTTCT